AGCATGACTATATGAACCCCTGCCTGGGAAAAACCAACCCTTCGAAGAACTGATTTTTTTTTTATCTAAGGGGTAAGGAATTTTTCACGGGAAAAACAGAATTGACTTTACAATGCGTTTATTCAATTCAACCATTAATTATAAGGTTCAGTCGTTACACCAAAAGACTTATCGGAGCGTCACATGTGTCAGTTCCATCCCTGGAAGAAGAAGCTTAGATAATCCCAACGATACGTGTTGTGGTGAGAACATTTCATTTCAGTGTTGTCCAGAAATTGGGGGACATGGCATGGCTGAGAAACTGGAGCTTCATTGAATAGAGCACATAGATTGAAGACATCTGCTATGCCGGTCTCGATGCCGGAGTGTACTGGGAGACCCCAAAGGGCATTAAGATCCTTTCGATAGGCGTTTCTCCATCCCCTGACCTGCTCCTTGAACTTCAGATTTACGTACCCAGGATAGTAGGAGAATCTGGTGCACTAGAAGAGCCAAAAAACAGACGAGAATTAGTAGAAATAGTGACTTGAAATGTCGCGGAGAAACAGGGCAACAAGAGAGTGGAAGAGGTATTCGGACTTCCGCGGTATTCAAACATAAATGCATCCACTGAATGCTTCGAATATGGGTGGTTCCTGACGGAGTGTTTCAGTCGAGCAACGGAAGCTCCGACTCGATCCCACACACTTCTGTCCACGATTCCTCTCGAGTGGTCCAGAGCACTTGTTCTAGGACGAATACTGGGGCGTAGTGGACAGGCACGAGCAATATGTCCAAGTTTATCGTACTTGAAGCATCTTTTTGAAGCTTTCAGTACAGATTATGATGGGCGAGGTTCTACTCGACGAGATCTCTTGCAGATACCACAATGAGAGGACGTTCCACACTCGGCAAAGGAACACCTTCGAATAATATGTCCGGCTATTCCATACTTGAGGCACTTTCCTGGATTCATTTTGATGTTTTGGTTTATTATAACCTTTTTACTCAAAACTTTGAAGAAGGCTGTGACCAAGTGGGGGCGACGGGCACTTTTGTATCAAAGGGTGCAATATCGACAAACGTGGCGGCCGTCAAGTCAACATCAACGTTAACGTCACCTGGAGTCAACGTTCGGCTTAGGTTCAAGAAACGATAATTTCGCAAAAATATGAAAATCAATGGATTTTGCAATTCCTTTCATAATGCTCATGCTAGGGACCATGGCATCCGAAGTACGAAGGGAGGGACATGTGGTAGAAAAGTTTATGCCCACTCCTGGAATTCATTGTGAGCCTATCGGGAGATTGTATCTGAGAAATCAGGTGTGGAGTATAGCTGCATCGACAGCTGTATGGCCTTGGATGCTGAGAGCTAATCATGTCCATAAGCATCTTAAACATGCTAAGGAGCTATGCAGTAAAGAAGTATACGGAAGCGGGAAAAATTTCAAGCTGTTGATTGATCAATGGTCTGAAGACTTTGCAGAGACTAAAGATGTCATCTCGGAGATGCTGGAGATCAATGACTCCTCAAAGAAACGCTGAGGTCTCATAGACGGTCTAGGGTCTGTTTCCAAATCATTGTTCGGTACAATGGACGTTAAGGATACACTGATCATCAACCAGAGACTCTCACGGCTAGAGAGTGGGGTGGAATGGACGTTCGGGAATTCCCGAAAGTAGATGGAGATTGTTAACTCAACTCTCTATCAGTTGGGACACACAGAGGAGATGATTCAGGAGAATGAAGAGATCCTGATGAAGTCTTTGAAAAATAAGGAATGCCAGGTGCTAACAATCACAGATAAAGTGGACCTCGACGAACATCTCATGATACTAGAAGCAATCTAGTACATGCATTCGGTTTTAACATTATCACCTTGGTGGAAATACCGCTGGTCAACTTCCAAGCGTTCGACGTTTTGCTGACACATGGAATTCCTGTGCGGACAACGAACGGGTATCATTACCTGGAGGCCAGGAAGAACTTTTGGTAATATACGGAGCAACACAACAGTTCGTGCCAATGCCCGAGGGACAATTGAATAAGTGCTAAAAGATTCGGGGACAATACTTATCGACCGAATCTCTGCCTATTCAAAAGGTGAAAGATACGAGTCCATGTGGGGTACAAATGTACATGAGCCGTAAGAAGATGCCTGCTAAATGCGTCGTGAAACAACTGCAGCTTCAAGGGCTCACCATAATAAAAATGAGAAAGAGTAACGCATGGTTCTACGTGACTCCGGAACCGGAAGGAATAGTAGTCACCTGCGGTGACAAGGAAGTGCGAGAGGTCCTGAAGGACTCGGGAACCCTGCGAGTTGAGGACTTCTGTGAAATAGTTGCCTCCGACTTCACTATTAGATGCAGAAAATTACACGAAGTAACATCCAATGGTCTTATTCATCCAAAACTGAACTTGACTTTGGATGATATCATGGTCGCCCAGCTAGAGGAACGAACGTTTAATCTGAATGACGTTCAGCTGACCAATGTTGTCGGGAACATGAAGGAGCTAGACGGACTTCACGTGCAACTAGCAGCTGAGAAGGAGAACCTGGATAAAATCCAAAAGAAATTCTACTATCGAGAATTTTTCACATACCCTTCATCGATATTCACCGGAGTGATAGTGATTCTAACAACCATCTTAGGGCTGACCTTTTACTGCTGCTGTCGGAAACCATGGCCAGTGCCCAGGAGGGAAGCAGCGAACTTCGGAATACCATAGGAATATATGTATCGAATTGTTATTGTAAAAATCATTTGTTAATGTAAAAACTTGTATTAGTTAGGTATTGTATCGATAAGATAGGGACAAGATAAGAGAAGGGATAAGATAGGGAGAATAGAAAATTTCGGAGGGTAGTAATTTTCTTCTGCGGGGAAGGATGTTATGCCCCTAAACAGCATTGTCAAATTCCTCTGTTGATTCGGATAATATGAAGACACGAAAGTGGCACATATTATTCGAAACAAACAGAAAATGAAGAAATGTAAAATAACGTCTAAATAATACGTAAATAAAACCGACGTATTATTCGACAAATGTAGATAGCTGCGGTGCAGCGTCAGCACTTTGCGTCCCGACGACTGGCCTTCGCGCGCGTCTGGCGACGTCACCCGATGCCTCGCAGAAGTGCGACAAAGAACAATGACCCGATGCAATCGAATCCACGAGGGAATATAAACTCGTGAATTCGTTGCATTGGGGCCAGTAATTCGACGATTATTTAAATCACCTTTTTTACATTTTATACTTGCCTGATACTTTCGGTACCAGACGAAGTCATTATTTATCTAATAAGTCATTACGTTATCGTTAAAAACTAATCTTCTATAAGAGATATTTATTCCTTTTATTACCCGCGTGTGATTTATCCCTTTATCGAACCCATACACTCGGATCCATTACAGAAAACTACAGAGTAAAATAATGTCACTGACTTAACCCCGAATTATCACTTTTGAGCTCACATTAGTTGAAAGAAAAAAGTTGTCTGAATTTCGCTCTATATTGGTTTTTTCCTACCGTTCCATTTTGCCCCACCTTCCCCTACGTTTTAGACCATTTTACATTATTTCCAGGTATAATTGAAGAATCTAAAAATAAAATGATTTCAATGCTTCCATTTGGATGCAATAAAGAGCAGAGAACGGAAAAAAATTAGCAATTTTTTTCATTCCAATCAGATAGCTGAATCAAAAGTTATCTTATTGGTCGCATGGACGCTTAGTTGTGCAGTTTTTTATTTTTTTAAACAATTTGCCGGTGCACTAGAATCCCAAAAATTTAATGTATTTCATCTCATTTTTCCATATGATGTGCTATGATTTTCAACCTCCTTTTATCATCTTCGATTTTGAAGTCGTAATTTGAGTGGCCTAATGGTGGAGATGGGCTCATTGTGGCGTTATTGAAGTATGCCGATTTCGAGTGCGAAAGATGCGAATTGAAGATAATCGCCTTGAGAGAGTAATAGAATTTTCTACGTCATTTAACCTTCGTTATAATCTATTAATATTGAACTGAAATTAATAGCAATACAAAAATTGGAAATAAGAAAAACAGAAATATTAGCAGCAAGCAAAATTGAAAATGGCCGAATAAGATTCAAAGTAAGAGACAACTTTGAAAAACACATGAAAAATTGTGACTTCAAAAATTGACGATTAAAAACATCTAATGGGAAAATTGTAAACCGAGTCATTCAAAAAACGATATATAAATAATATTGGGAACTAAAAAATACAAAACCTCTGAAAAAATAAAAAATGAAAAGTACAATTCTAAGAAATATTAAGAACAGTACGAGACTCATCAGAGCATGGACCATTTTTCGACAATTATAAATGGATATGAAGAATGAAAGAGCAAAATCAGGCCAACCCCAGATGATTTTATATGTCTTCTCCCGTCTTTGCTCTTGCGTTTGTCCTCTTAGGTGTTTCAATTGTGTTTCAATTCTCATTTTTCCGTTTTCTCTTTTTAAATCAGACAATTCACAACTTTTTCCTCAGGGGATTTTAATAATTAACTTTTATTTACTGCAGATTTTGTACCCAGCATGAGAGGTACTTCTAATTATAGTAGATTCTAGGCTTGAAGGTATAAATCCCACCAATGGTTCATCGGCATTTGAATATAAGAATTTATTACTTGATTATAATAACTGTGTCATTTGATTGATTGCAAAGAGTTTACGAGTTTTGCACACGGCGGAGTCCAATTTAGGTCTGATCTGTGCAGACTCAACCGTCTCTTAAATAATACATTGATTGTTTATATTTCCTCATGTCGTCAGCATAATCCAGTTACGCTGGCAAGTGTTACACAGACAATACTGTGTGTCTACGTATTTTCTAATAACATAATTGAACAAATGTGGGGCATAACTCACAAGTTGTAATGAATCCATAAATCTACGACAATTTTTACTAATCCATCATTTGAAATCGTGATTTATATTTTATGAAAAAAAATAGTATTTCAAGTAAAAAATATTCAACAATTACCCCGCTGTTGAGATGCTCCTTGGACGTCGGAATTTCAATTTCATCATATTTGTGTACCAAATCATTTCGATACATAATGTAGTAATAATCAATGGAATTCCAAAAAATGTCGGGTCGTGACCAGTAAATATAAATGGCATCCTGGGCTTGGCATGTTACGTTCAGAATTACGGGTGCACTCGGACCCGCAACATCAGTCTTTTGCATAATGTGATCAGATGGCTCACCCTCATTCTTCCAGGTGAATGCTTTCACCCAGATTTTGTATTCTGTCATCGGCTCTGGAAGAAATAACATGTATTAGAACTTTACGATAGTGCAATTTTTTGCAATATTTACTAATCCTAAGATTTTTGTCCATTTAAGGTTTAAATAGCGACAAAAATTCAAAGCAGGTAGTAGTAACGCAATAGTATGCTTAGAACGTGAAACATACTATCGTGCATTTATATAGGTCCACAACGAATATCTTGAATATCGATTTGCATAGAAAAACCACGAAATTTTTCAATAGTATTTTTCAGTTTTACGATTTTGGGGAACGACCAAAATCGTAAATGGCATGCGGTCGCATGCCAATCCCCTGATAAGAAAAATTGAAGGGCAGTAAAAGAAGTTTCCTGATAGGAAGTTCTCATTGAATTCTGTCAGGACGATTTCTATAATTCAGCCCATTTTAGCTCTCAGAAATTTAAATTAGCCACGCGGTGTGTTCGGTGAGGTCGCTAGGATGATTTGACGACATTTAACTCCACTTTTTTTGCGCCATTCTTTCGAAATGATTCCATTACAAAAAGACGAGTCTTCGAATGTTGGGATTTTTTTTCACCAAAACCATGGTATTGTTTTTGCTTCATCGACGACGTTTCAGATATTTATGTCTATTATTTACCGAGGTCGTTTTTTTTCGACGTTTCGTAGAAAAATCTTGATCAGTTTTAAACCTTTATTGAATTTCTTCTAGCAAATTCATTTTTGGCACTTTTTTTTGCCACAGTTTCCGATTATTCTTTTTCGTGTTGGGGGAGTCTCGTTTGTACCATCACATTTGTCCATATCTACACTTGTCCCGGATCTCGCTTATTCAGAATAACAGTTGTCGATATCCACACTTGTCCATGACACTTTTCATCGGTAAAACAGCGTCGGTATAATAGGAAGGACACATAGCTGTTATCCATTGTCGACTCAAATTATTATCTGAAAAGGAGACGGAAATAGGGCAGCACTGGTTTTTGTATGGGGAGAATGGGCCCAACCAGGGACGTGTTTTAAGCTGAAGAGATATTTCAAAGTGCCCGGACCCCCGTGAATTTCAGAATCCATCTGAGTAATCAACGTCCAACGAAAGAATATTGAGATATGGAATGAAGTAACAAAAACCGGATAGATGATAAGGACTTGCTTCTTCCTTAGGTTTGGTGTATGAACAATGGTCAATGACGGACCAGCAATCAATAACGAGACAAAAATTGTTCAACAGAAATACTCCAAATTGTAAGTGAGTTAGTGTTTATCTCAGCAATAATAATCCATCCTACTAATTAGATTAAAGATGCAATTTGTTGACTGAATAATTAATTACTCATCTACACGGATAAGTGAGTCATGGAAAGAAAACAAATGTGAGTAGATAAACTTATTTGTTTGGCAACCGAGCATTGCTTGCAAAATTAATCTATTCCTTTACTTATGTATCCATTCACTTGGCCAATGATTGATAAAATAACTAATCTTAACTAGTTGAAAGTACGGTTCGTTATAGCAAATGAAAAAATTTGCCGCAATTAGGGGAGGGTGAGGCAAAGTGAAACAAAGGTGTTTTTTGCTTAGTTTTTACATTTTTGTGGCACTGCGAATGTTTCTGACTAGTTTGTAATGTTCGCTAGATAGCCATGGAGTCAACACCTCCAAATAACTAACCACTGTATCCGTTTTACCCCAGTGGTTCACTTTGTTCGACCTTCCCTTATAGCAATTTATTTTGATCATTTTGCGATTTTTTCCCCATAATTTTTATGGACAGTGATTTCCTCCATAAATTTAAAGATGTGAGAAAAAAGTTTCACGAAAAGAAAAGAGAGAAAAAAGAACATAATTGGCGTATATGGGCATCGTTCTTGGTGTGACTAAATTAGGAATTCGCTTGCCAATGAACACCGTTATAATTTTTGTCGGACAAAGTGAGACGCACGCTTCGCGCGTGCTATCCAGGCTGCATGAAATTGATTCTTCAATCAATTTTTTAAAGTCAACTAATTCTTGAGTTCATTAATGCCACTGAATATTGGTGGCAATGGTAACAATCCAGCACAAAAACGCTGAAGGAATCGTGAATTGCCACATAATCACCCATGACAATTGATCAAGTGGATGTAAGAAGAAAAATCACACGTCACTTCAAAGATCTTCTTGAGATCTTTAAATTAGTGGGTAATAAATACTCATCGCTTCAGTGCAAAAGCCCAATAATGGATAAAAAGGCCGAATTTCAAGGTGTGGCATGACGTTCGAAAGGGAAACAATCTTGATTACTTTATGGTAATTCAACCGAATCGAATTCAATACATCACAGATTGAAGAACGAATGTACTCTTCATAATGATATATTCATATATTTTTTCCGCTGATTTCACTTAAAAGGATAGAAAAATACAGCCAAATTTGAATTTTCAAATAAAACATGAAAAATCAATTTTTGACAAACATCGTATAACTTTGCGAAAAGTTGTTGATATTAAATGTGTCACCTCTCAATTAAAAGTTTATTCAGTAAACTACATAACTGATAGATCTTGTTGAGATCTTCAAATTAGTGCATAATAAATCCTCATTAGTCAAGTGCAAAGGTGCTACAATGGATGGAAAGAACCAATTTTAGGGTATAATATGACGCCCAAAAGAGTAACAATCTCCAATAACTTTATGAAAATTCAACCAAATTGCGATCAATACATTACAATTTGAAGAAAAAATAATGCTCTTCAAGATGGTATACCAATATTTTGATTGATATGACGCAAAAGAATAGAAAAATTCAGCCAAATGTGATTTTGAAATAAAAGCACGAAAAACCAATTTTTGCAGAAGAGTACTATTATAGGAGTTGAGATTGTTGTGGAAAGATTCAATTCACTAACAAATGCGATTACGTTAATTGATCACAGTATATTTATAAAACGTTTAACGAATATATAAAAGTAAAGAAAAGTTGTGATCCGGTAAGAGGTTCATAACCGACTGTCCGGGTGAGGTGTATCTCAATTCGCAGAGCAGTCGAATTCTGTAAATGGAATAAATCCGAAATATACGTGTGACACAATAGGTACGAGTGAGGCAGCGCATGGTGTTTTCGTTCAGCCGTCCATCATCTTTTCTCAATAACCGTGGTCAGCGCGTATGTGTATGTGTGGATGGAACGAGCCGCTACACTATAACTCGATGGAAAATGATCGGAATGTACTGATTTACATGTCAATTTGAAGTTTATTCAATAGGCCTTCGAATCAGTATAAAACATACAAGGTTCATTAAACAGGAAGAGAGACAGCATGAAACCCAAAAAAAGGAACAGCGTCACGTATACAAATGAATATATGGGTTGAATATATTGTCACAGAATGGAGTGAATGACTATTCTCTCCCTCTTGAGTTACGCCTCCAATTCATTCTAGTTTTGCAAGATCATTACATTTAGGATGCTATCAAAACACGAAACACAACATCGTTCTTGAAAATTCCCGACCGATTGAACAACCTCCACGGAGAATTCCTTTACAGTACAGGGACAAAATTAATGACCTCATTGAGCCGATGGTGAAACACAAAATAATCGAGCCTAGTACTAGTCCTTGGGCATCTCCAGCCACGTTAGTTAGAAAAAACGACAATTCGATTCGTTTTTACGTGGATTATCATCCTATCAATGATACGACGAAGAAGAACGCGATTCCACTTCTCAGGTCTGAGGACATCTTTGATACGACTGTTCGATCGAAACTGTTCTCCACAATTGATCTCAAGAGTGAGTATTGGCAAATCGAAATGGAACCTGAAGCTCGTGAAATCACTGCATTTGCAATTGGAAATGAATTATGGCAATTCACTGTGATGCCTTTTGGTTCATGCAATGCCCCCGCTACGTTTATCCGTATCATGAATGAGGGATTGAGAGGACTCATTGAGAAAATTTGCGTCGTGTACCCAGATGACATCTTTATTTTCGGCAAGAGCTTCGAAGACTTCTCTCACAACAATGAATTTGTAACAGATTGTGGTGGAAAGCAAATCTGAAGGTTAATCCGAAGAAAAACATTTTCTATCAGCCCGAAGTTCGGTTCCTTGGACACCTCATTTCGGGGGACGGTATCAAATGCGATCTAGAGAAAACTAGAGCCATTATTGAGTGGACACTTCCAACGTCGAAGTTCGCTCTGCAGAGTTTTTTGAGGTTATGATCATATTATAGGAAATATGTGGAAGGAGTCGCTCTGATTACAAAACCTCTCTACCATTTGACCAAAATCGAGAATCCCTTTATCTGGAATGAAAAATGCCAAGCAGCTTTCACAATATTGAAATCAGCCTTGACATCTCCACCGATTCTCACTGTACCTTTTCCAAATATTCCTTTCATCCTCGATAATGGCGCATCTCAATTTACTCTCGGGGTACCTTATTTCAGGTCTATGGGGATGAAGGAAAGGTAGTGGCATACTTCAGTAAGTGCCTCAAACCATCTGAAAGGAATTACTGCGTCACTCGAAAAGGACTGTTGGTTGTTGTGAGGGCAGTGGAAAATTTCAGGCATTATCTTTTGGGTGGGAAGTTTTTTATCCGGACTGATCATGCGGCGTTGAAATGATTACTCACTTTCAAGAATTCAGAAAACCAAATGGCAAAATGGTTAGAGGCTTTATTCATTTTTTATTTTAAGATCTCTCATCGCCCAGGAAGACAGCATAGAAATGCTGATGCACTGTGAAGACGTCCTTGTGATTGCAAAAAACGTAAGAGGATCAATAACAAGAATGAAGATCGACAATTGCTAGTCTATCGTACAGTTTGTAAACTCGATAGCGTTCTTGGATGCCACTTCAGATGGAAGATCCTGTATTACGAGTACTCATCACGAGCAAGCAGGGGAATTGTCGACCAGAATGGCATAAAGTTTCTCATCTAGCTGTCGAAATGAAATTATATCTGCTGTATTGGGACTTACTCGAACTGTTTAATGGGAAACTATGCTAACGTTGGGAATCGACAAATCATACATCCATGA